AGACTATTTGCCACAACATCCATATTGTATTCTTCATGGTCATTACAAATGAAATACTTGGGATAGTTCTTTTGTCCAGTCCCACATTTTATAACACTGTTCAGGATTTCCCATAATCTTTTATTATTATTTCTATTTATATCTAATTGCTTCTTATAGTATTCCTTTTTACTAAAGAAGCCAGAGTGGAGTGGACGGACAAAGAGAACAGGAAGGTCAACGTGTATCACAACAGCTCTGACCTGCTTGCATTACAGCATCGTTTTTTCAGAAACCGAACAAAGATTAATGATGGCCTACTGAAAACTGGAGACCTCAGTCTAACCCTAGAATACCCCACAGACTGGGACAGAGGTCAGTGCTGATTGACTGGTTTGAAAAACTCTCTAATGCGTTAAACCAAAATAATTAACTTTTAAATGAGTGAACCTATTTTGAAAATGTTAAGAATACAACGTAGAGATATTTGTGTTTAAATGTAGAGCACAAAGTAAAAAGTTGTTAGAAACATAAATACTCAAATAAAGCACAAATACACAAACACTATTAAACTAAAGTACAAAAACAACGTATTTGTACTCTGTTACTTCTCACCTCTCAAGATGTTTCACTCTGATTTTGTTCTCAGATATTGAAGTTGTGTCCCGTTTTCATCATCCTGCAAAACTGTTCATGTTCAACATGACTGATGGAACAAATCCATTTAGTTTGTCTCATGCCATCTGGTCATCAGCAGTTTTTAGTGGGATTAATTTGCATTCATTGAACATCGTTTTCTAGTCAACTGCATCAAACTTTGATTCCAGCCAAAATCAGTGATGCTGAAAGGGAATACATGAGGCTGTACAGCTTCTTTAGAAATGAGAGATGAGCTGAGTCGATCCCAAGGATTCAGTAATGTTGCAGCAGAAACAAAAACATTTTGATTTGATGAAGGTTTCTGTGGCTTCATGTTGCAGATGTGTGTGAAAATCTGATCTGTAAAATACAATTAAGATTCATTGGCAGAGAGGATTGTTCTGGACAGAAACAAGATCATGACAGAGGGCATGTTTGATTTAAACTCCTCTTCAATGATACATTTTAAATCCCCCCAAAAAACAGCAGACAGCAGCTCTACAATGACAGGAGACATTACAGACACTGATCACCTCAAACGTCTTTAAAACCTGCTTTGACTTTCTACATTTCTGTCCTGTTACCTTCTGCTCTGATCTTCTTCTGTCCTCCAGCTTTCTCTGCAACTCTGAAACCTGCTGCTGTCTGTCATGTTGTGTTTGTTGTCCTCTCAGTCTGTCAGGTGGAGGTGGAGGAGGGGGTGGAGTCTGTCCAGCTGCCCTTTATAAATACAGAAAACCTGCCTGAAGATGCTAAAGTGGAGTGGAGACACTATGAACCATTTAGGACCGTTTATGTGTATCAAAACGGCTCTGACCAGCCTGACAAACAGGACCAAGTTTATGTGGACCAAATACAGATGAATGAAGACCTGCTGAAAACTGGAGACCTCAGTCTGACCCTGAAACACCCCACAGATGGAGACAGTGGAGAATACAGATGTGAAGTGGACAGCACACAGATCTACAGATACAAAACTGTGCTGCTCAAAGTCAAAGGTTTGTGTGTGTGTGTGTGTGTGTCTCTGACTGT